AGATGGAGCGTTAAGTAAACATACCAAAAATCATGGGACACATGATGAAACTGAAATGAAAATCAGTGTTATTTTGACCTGTCTTTTGAAGGTTTTTCCCTCATACTCCTGGTATGAGGGAACGAGGGTATGAGACTCCTTCCATTCTCACTTCTCCTCTTCTGCAGTAACCTGATCATCTTGTCACCTCAACTCATGAGAAATACCCAAATTAATTACAGTCAGTGGTCAAAAAAAAAAAAAAAAAAAGGATTCAGACTATATTTTAGGCACATATTTAGTAATGCCACTTGTGCTGCAGTAAGAAATTATTTAATAAGCAAAAAGAGTAAATAAAATATCTTCATCGCAACTCAGTATTTGAGTTATTGCAAGAAGCCATTCCCACTTCTTGATAACACTGGGCAAATGTTTACAGCCAGGAAAAGCAATATACAGCACATTAAACCATCTGCCTGACTGTTATATGGAGACAAATACTGCTCCCTCTGAAGTTTTTCTGAGGAATAAGTCCACTTATTTGCCTCAAAGTAAAATTACACGATTTGATATTCTGACCTTAGTAGAGGCACACAAGGTTTCACGTGCCACCATGAAAACACAAAACGTGCAACTTCTGTTCCATTCGTGAAATAGAATCATAGAATTGTTTTGGTTGGAAAAGACCTTTAAGATCATCAAGTCCCACTGTTACCCTAGCACTGCCAAGGCCACCACTAAACCATGTCCCTAAGCACCACATCTACACCTCTTTTAAATCCCCCCAGGGATGGGGACTCCACCACTTCCCTGGGCAGCCTGTTCCAGGGATTGACAACCCTTTTGGTGAAGAAGTTTCTCCTAATATCCAATCTAAACCTCCCCTGGCACAACTGGAGGCTGTTTCCTCTTGTCCTATCACTTGTTACTTGGGAGAAGAGACCAACCCCCACCTGGCTACACCCTCCTTTCAGGTAGTTGTAGAGAGCCATCAGGTCTCTCCTCAGCCTTCTCCAGGCTAAACAACCCCCTAACAGCACCCATTTCTCTAGTCATTGTGAAACTATGATGGGACTAGAGAGAGTCAGCATTGAACACCCCAAGAAGGACGTTTCAAGGGCAGATATGATATACGAGACTTACAGCAGCCAAGAAATGGGGTGAACTGTGCACATGAGGACACAGAAGTGCAATAGAAGACATGGAGGTCTGTGGTAAATCAATGTAACAAAGCTCAGGATGAGATCATAGAATAGATTCACAGAATCATAGAATGGTTTGGGTTGGAAGGGACCTCCAAAGCTCATCTCATCCACCTCCTCTGCAGTGAGCAGGGACATCTTCAACTAGATCAGGTTGCTCAGAGCCCCGTCCAACCTGACCTTGAATGTTTCCAGGGATGGGGCATCCACCACCTCTCTGGGCAACCTGCTCCAGTGTTTCACCACCCTCATCAAAAATTTGTTCCTTACATTTAGTCTGAATCTCCTCTGTTTGAGTTTAAAACCATTGCCCCTTTTCCTATCACAACAAGCCCTACTGAAGTCTATCCCCATCTTTCTTACAAGACTCCTTTACACGTTCAAGGGCTGCAATAAGGTCTCCCCAGAGCCACCTTTTCTCCAGGCTGAAGGTGATTATATTTAACAAAACCTCAGAGAAAAATGGATTATACCCATTCACACTCTCACACCCACAAATGCCAAATGTATTGGCTGGCTGGTCTGGCCAACATCACTTGTGTCCCACAGAGAGGACAAGGGATGCTGGCTGTCAGGTCCTCACCACACCTCCTGGCTTCTTTCCTGGAGACAGCAAACCTGGTTTATAGGTCTTTTATACCCTGTAGGGCTTAACGGCTTCTTTGGCAGGACCCTTTGGACTCAGTTTTGTTCACACTTCTGACCCTTTAGGTCTTCTTCTGACCTTTTAGGTCTGTTTGTCAATACCTCCATCTCCTCATTTTGAGTTTCTTAGCGCTGCTACACTAGGAAAAGGAATGGTAGCGGTGATGTGCTGTGACCTTGCTGTCGCCTTCCTAGTTTTGGAGCAAGGGGTCTCCTCCTGACTAGCTGCAGGGTTACCAGCATGATCCTCGACTGCTTTACAGCCAACTCTGTTAGAATACAAGCCATGCTTTTCAACTCTTGTTCTGCTGATTCTTCTGGTGTTTACACATCCTTCTTTCATTCAAACCATTCTTAATACTCCTCTTAGAAATCTCTACAGAACTGGGCAATAAAGCAGAGAAGCACAGAAGAAATACAGATGCACTTGTTTTTTATAAAAAAAAAAAGGGAAGAAGGATCATTGGGCGGCAACACGAGTTTAGAAGGACACAAATATTTTTACATATTCTGTATGTAAAAATACACTGGTGAGAAATAGGTATTACAGATAGATGTGGTGGCATACATAGATTTTTTTTGGAAGATAAAGAACCACAGACACAAATAAAAATGTTTACTAGAGACTGTCAAAATAGCTCAAACTACCTGCTGAAAGACAACCGTAAAATCTGTAAATTAAAGAGCTATGTTATGAAAAGCAGAGAGGAGGAAACGGAAAAAACACTTTGCTTGCAATTCATTTAGCTTTGCAAAGGTTAACAACCGTTAGAATATCATTTCTCCTGCGGCTCCAATTATAATGCAATATTAATGACCCCGTAACTTCACCATTCTACCCAACCTTTATCCACTGACATTTTCTTAGCTTAAAATAAAACGTTAACGTGTTGCAAAATAAAATAACGGTAACGTACAGCCACTTGCCTGGCGTCGTGCTGAGCACCGACTCCAGAAGGAGCTCCAAGAGTCTAACAGCGCCTGTAAGTGTGAGGCACACCCTCTCTGACCCACAGTACCCCAGTACTCTTAAATGAAATGGAAATAAAAAAATTTTCCAGAAAAATTTCCAAAATTGCCTGTAGAATGGCAAAATGAAGCAAGACCCTTGAACTTGCTAACAGAAAGTCATTCTAAACATCCATTTTCCAGAACAGTGTCTCTTTCTGTGTCCGTTACACTCAAATAATTGAGACCTAGCTCAGTTTTCAACTTAGAGGTGGCCCATACCTCAAAGGTGGTTTCGCCAACTGTCTTCAGGCTTTGTAGAAAGCATTTTCATTGCCACCACTTAGTGTGCAAATTTTCAGCCAACTCTATCTCGTTAACATCACAGGGGGCTATCAGATATTACTTATTTATGGTCTAACTTGGATTCGACTGTAATTACGAAATGCACCCTACAGCATTAAAAATGCAAGCGTTTCAATAGTTTCCCCTACAAACAGCAGAGATGAATCATGCTGTTCTAATACACTGACTATTTAGCGAGTTATAGTGACTGTAAAATAAAATATTGGGAGAGGAACTTAGCAGTAGTTACAGTTAAAGAAGCAAAGAATTTTTAATGCATTATAACTGCTTAGTTGGAAAACACCAGTAAACCGCCTTCTCCCAAATACACACGTTCTTATTCCTCGGGCACGTTAGGATGTTAAATAATATTGCAACATTACTTCTCAAGGAGATCCATGTGATAGCAGTGAGGGAGGGAAGGAAAATCACTGTTGGCTGTCTTGAATCTGCCTAACTTTTGGACATGTATTTTCAGCTGTGTCTGCTCACTGAGATACGGTATATTCACGTACATATCTTCTGCTTCAAACTGTGATTCTCTTCCAATAATTGAATTGGAGGAACCGCTCAGAATGAAGAGTTTCAAGCTCTCATATGCAGGTGGATCTGGGTCTGTAAAGGACTAATGGATAATTTTTGACGTGTGGATTGATCTTATGCCATTAAATAGAACTGAGGAACCAACTCCTTCCCTATTCACTCTCCTCAGAATTACCCTGCCACAAAGATATTTAGGGAAGACCTTGACTGCGATGGATTCAGCAGAAGAAATGCTGCAGTCTGATCCAGGAGTAAACACTTACTCCACATCCATGGAAGCAAGGTGGTGGTTCAAGCCTGCTGTTTACCTGGGACTGCGTTAAAGCACACTCCACTCTGTAAAAGCTACATACTAAAAAAAAATATAATTGATATAAACCACTTGTCTGAAGGACCCATCTGGAGCTCCTTGCTTTAATTAAATTTAGCATGGAATCTAAAGCAAGATATTATTCCCACTGCTCATTTTAAAATGGGCATAACATTGCCTGCTTTAAAACAGGTTGTAAGATCTGGAGTACTGTTTACTCCATGTATATCCCTCCTGAGGGAGTCCTCCTTATTGATCAAGTATTGGTTTATATTTGTGGAGTATTAACAGTTCCTAAAATAGAGGCTAACACATTAGATTTTGAAACCTTAAAGAGATGGGCTGCTATGCGTCGGGAAGCGTTTAACCTCTACGCTGGGCTAGGCTTTTTTGGAGGATGGAAGAGGAAACACGTATTGAAATTGCTTCTGTTTGTTCCAACTCCTCAGGAATCATCAGTTTGCTTCACATTAAGAAATGAACTTTACCAAGCAGCTCAGGAAGGACAGACGGGTATTTGGCTTCAATTTCTGTTTGTGTTTAACTTGACATGTATTCAGAGTTCAGTTTAAAACCAAAAGGTGCTACCTAAAGAGTCTGAAATTAGTCCATGCTTAACTCTTTGCAAAATCACTTCCTTGATTTATGATTCGTGTCTGATGACGTGTGAGTATCTGCAGTTTCTAGAAGTCATACGTTATTTGTATGATGTGGTAACTCAAATGTCTTTACACCATTTTCAAAGTAACTTCTCCATTTCAAAAAAGCCTCCCCCACCCCCAGCCTCCCTTTCCCTGCCTGCACAGGACAAGATGCATTTGCAAAGACGGGCAGACAATTTTCTTAATATATTTCCTAATTAAACACTTTAAAGATAGTAGAGATTTCCAGTTTCTAGGCTGTGATGTAAGCAGGATGTTTAAGTAAAAAAAACTCAAACCAACAAAAACCCAAACACAATACTGAAAAATAAAACCCAAAGATCTTTCCTAAAGAAGAAACATTTAGCTGTCTTAAATGAAAAGTACCTGAAAAAGGTCACAAAGAACTGCACCAGGTCCATAAAGTTGCTGTGTTGTGAGAATGCAATCTGAAAGAGAAAAGAAAATGTTTTTTTACTGAGAAGTAAATTCGTATTTAAGATGCATTGCTGCGGGGATCACAAAATTACAATGAAATACGTCTTTACTTAAGTCAATTAACGTTTTTGAACACGACCTTGAAAAAGCGCTGAAATAGTCTGAGCAAAAAGAAAACAAACGATAACTTCTCATTCTTTTGAAATCACATATCCAAAAAATAAATCTAAGCAAGTAACATCTCTGTCCCAACAGCATCCAAGGAACAGTCTTCCGTGCACATTAACTACCTGGGAGAAAACACCAGTTCAAAAAGTTAGAAGAGAGAAGTTTCCTAGAGCTATAAATAGAGCATCTTTAATTATTGTCTACACAGCAACCCAAAGTACAACGTTTAAAAGTTCAAACTGCGTGCTCCCATCCAAACAATATTCTTACATCAAAATCTCCTTGAATAAGTAACTTACACCAAGGGCAGCAAAGAGGCATGAGACACAGAAGATAATAGATACTGTAAAAACAGCCATGGCATTCATCTTAACTCACTTTCCCGCAATCCGCTGGAAAGAAAAGTGAAAAACAACCAAATATTTTGGATAAAAAGCAGAGGGAAGAAGCGAACAGGAAATTGGGAGGTGGTTAGAGGCAAAAGGAAAGATTAGGGAGCCTGGTTAAAAATAACAAAGCAGAGGGGAGGGAAGCCGACAGAAAGGCAACTTCTGCAACATTAGGAATCAGAAGTTCTTTCCAGGTACCTCCTATTTCCTCTGACTATCAGTCTCAGCACCACAACAGGGTATTAACTCTTTCATGAAGTAACTGAAGTTATTTCTAACCTAAACCGAAACCTGCATTTACGAAAGCTTTCCGTGGGCATTAAATTCACTTCAGGCGTCATTTGTTGGGTTTTCTCCTTAATAAACTGCATGTTATGGTACCATTAGCATAAATACAAATCTCTCCTCCCACAAATACTCACATTCCAAAAATCGTGAATATACGCAAAATGAATTATTGCTTGGACTTCTGTTCCTCTAGAACACCTTCTATTATCATATTTGCTTTAAATATCCATTGTAATTTGTTATAGAAGCTGATCAACATAATTTTCTTATAAGTATACTGAAATGCTCTTAAGTTGAAAGCTCCTTTACAGTGTATAACTTGTGTTTTGCTGGAAAACTAACTCAAAACCTGCAGACCAGATGCTCGTGACCTCAATATTACAGCCTACAAAAGACAAGAGAACACATAGTTTTCTTGCTGACTTTTTCCTTATAAAGTGCTTCCCAATAGCTTTTTGATTAGAAAAATAGAGTGAGTATGATATCACTTTTTATTTTAAAATTCAGTGCATGGCAACTGAGGTGGCTTGATATTCACAGAATTATTCTGACATTTATTTAAGGCAAAGAATTTTCTTACTAAATCATCACATCCCAAAATACAAACATGTAATATATCCAGTATATGGAAATATGGTTCTGAGAACAACTATGATGCTGACTGACTACAAAAGATGCATTTCAAAACAAAGACCTTGTTATGTATCAACAGCTCATATTTAAAAATCCTTTTGTAGAAAAAGAAAATTAAAAGCACAAAGAAATCATCGATGGGCCAGTCCTCTGCAGACGATCATTAGGACGATTTTCTGTGTTGGAAACCAAAGCTTGCTCCAATTAGAATGTGAAGAAGAAACAAGTATCTGCTAATTTAAAAAATAAAAAGGACAGATTCTAAGAAAAATTAATGAGTCTGCATCTCTCAACTTTTGCCAGAGAAGAGCTTCTCATTTTTTGATAAGACAAGTGTATTAAATAAAACAGAGAAGGGAAATTTGGGTTGTTTCACACAGAAGCACTACAAATGCTTTGCCAGTGGTGGATCTTTTGTCGACCTGTTGGAGCTCTTCTCCTGCAAAGACCAACTGAGGATCTGAGCCTCATACACGGATTAAAAAAAATAAAAAAAAAAAAATTAAAAAAAGCCCAGGTTGGTTTCTGCAATTTACTTCTCACAAGCTGAAAACACTTTATGCTATTAAACCTGACCAATCTGTGTCACAGGCAATTTAGTATCATAATTGTTAATGGTTTGCTTACTTAGAGCTTAATTTCCCCTAATATAATCTGTTCCTTGGACTTAATTAATTCAGTTACATAGAAAGTTTGGTTAGAAATAGCTGTTAAAAGTAGCCTGTTCATTGTGAATATAGGAAAAATATGGCATAAATTTCTTTAGCGGTATGGATTTTTAATTAAGTTTCAATGACGGCGGAAGATTCATTTATCCATTCTCAAAGCCCTCATTTTGTAGCGCAGGAACAAGCAGCGTAAGTGCAGGAAAACACCGTGCGTCTCGCGCCGGGGACCGGGGGAGCCGCCTCCAGGTACGGAGCAGAACTTCAGCTCAGCTGCAAAATCCAACTGCCGCTTTCGTAACGCACACGTCCTTTAAAGATGTTTTATACTATGGTCTTAGGAATAACGCTGTATCCTTAAATAGTTAAGATCAAAACGGATCAGAAAATTAATTATGTTCATTCCGGGGAACACTATAAAGCTTGTGTGTTTATCTGATCTGAAAAGGTACCTGAAAAAGCATACCACCCTGTCACGCTTTTTCTAATGCCACATCATTTGAAGTATCAAAAAAAATCTGGTTGCTTTCCAGATGAATAAAAATAGCTGCCTACACAGACGGATAAAAATGTGTAATTAAGAGCTTTACTTTCTTTATCATTTGATTAGCATAAAATATTAAGCCAAGGAGAAAATCTGGCTACCTCTAACTACCCAACATCTAAAGAGTACACAGGTTTTGAAATCAGTACACACGTATTTCAAAGGAGTTAATGGCAAAGTCCTTTACGCAAAATATTTTGTGTAAAGGAAAAACAATTTGAACCCAACTGACATTTCAGTAAAAGTTGGTATTTCAAACTCAAAATACTTCTGGAGTTAAACTACAGCCTGTGACCGATATAAATTTTGACAAACAAATTGGAAGGATTACATACCAGGAATTGATTTGCATTAGTACCTGAGTTTGTGCTCCAAGAGAAAAGAAACTTGAGAAAAATTTCAAGAGAATAATTTTGTACAAAAATGGGTCCAGCTGACTCTTGGCCACCTTCTTATTTTGAAACAAGTTCACATTCAGACGGCATGTGCAACACTATCTAAAGTTATTTAAGTCTCCAGCCTTTGATTTACAAGTGCTTTGAACTCATTAAAAAGTACTTGAATTTCACATACCACAAAGAAAAATTAGTATCACCAAACCACTGAGAAATTCTGTAGAAATATTTTTTTCTCGTTAAATACAGCAAGAAACAAATTGAAGTAACTCCTCTCACTTGCCTATAATAAACAGATCTACAGATAAATCATCACAACATAACTCCTTGCACTTGTGCTGGAAGTTACTATTATTTTAGAGAAACAGAAACTAAACTATTAGCCACAATGGGGATGGGGCAAATCTCTCTCCAAACCCAAATAATTTCTAGTATTATACATAGTATTAGTACTCCTAATCTAAACTTGTTAACTGAAGAACTGCTAATATACTGAAGAACATTTCAAGTATGGCATTTTCATAACATAAGTTGGTACATTTTGGGTATCTATGCGCTCAAGAAAACACGAACAAACACAGAAAAAATTGTTTCTACAACTTTTCTTTTGCTGCTAACAACTCAGGATTATTTACGTGCTGTATTTTTGCCTGTCTCCATTATTGTACAAAGTGACTCGATTCACATCGGTGCCGCCTTTGTTTCCAACCTTATTCATATTAGGGATGAGAAAAAGGGAAATTGGAAATGATATTTTGAAGAGGTCACACTCCTAGAACAGAATTGTAAAGGAGAGAAAAATAGAAGTCTAATTAACTTACGAAACCGAAGAAGTGCAACAGAGAAGGCACAACATGAAGCAGGGGACCGGAGTTTGGTGCTTGCTGTGAATTCAGAAGATATCAAAAGGTCCCTACTGCTAGGTCCATTAACCTCACCTAGCAGGTGGGAGAATGCTACAGCACTCGTGTTTCGAACGTCCACGGGACCACACAGCACTGAAAAACACGGAAAGTCAGAGATTTCAGGCTGCTTTGCTTTTTTATTTAAATGTAGTCCCAGCGCCAAAGTTAACGAACAAAAAAGCAGCACGGAAGACCAAAAGGCTGGGAGCTCCACGGGCTTCCAAAGAGATGAAGCCAACAGCCAAACAAGCTGCAGATGACATTTATGTGCGTCTTCCTCTATTTCTTCCTCAGCACCTCCAACTTTCTCTTCTTTTTTTATGGTTAGAGGCAAGGATTCGATCTGACCTTGGAGAACACAGACAACGGTAACAGGATGCCGTGACCTGAATGCTGAGTGCCTGCGCTTCTCTCAAAGAACTTGCTGAAAACCAAATGGCTTTTAAGCATTCTTGAGCGATGCCAAAGTCATCAAAACATTCATTTTGCCCTCTGTGATAGCGGTGGGGGGAAAGACTGCTCTTCCGCTCAAGAGGAACATCATTCCCGGTTGAAGTTCTCCTTTAAACACAAACACAACGTGCCCCAGTGAAACACCTGGCAGAAAACGCACGTTGTTCTCGGTGCTCTCCACTCAAAAGGAGCAGCGAGCCAACTCCAACAGCCTCGGCGGTGAGGTTTCAGGAAAAAACGAGCCAATCTCGCAATCCAGCTCCACCACCTAAAAGGTGGTCCCGGCTCTGCCACATGCTGCTGCTGTTTCACACATTCTGTGAACATCTTTAATGAGCCAAAGCAAGTTGTTAAGCCAGCAGAGAGCTAACCATAGGAATGCAGGGCTTTTTGCTGGTATTTTTGAGCTGACCCAGCTCAAAATGAGGCAAACTCAGCGGCAACGCAAGGGAGGAGCAGGGCAAGATGACCCTTTTTGGGCAGGTGGCTCTCAAATCATCTCAGTGATGTTAACTCCCAGGACAACTTTTCAGAAGGAAGCATCTGTTCACCTCTGCAGATGAGACATATG